GCGGGGGACATCCGCGGCGTCTCGCCGGCCCGCGTCGGCGTGGAGGTGCGATTCGCGGCCGTGCAGGAGGGTTGTCCCAACGGCATGGCCCGCGGGGTTGCCCCGGCGGTCTGCCCTCGCGCCCCGGCGGCCCGCGGGATTGCCCCGGAGACGTGGCTGGCCCGAAGGGCTGTCCCGACGGCTTCGCGATCTAGCCGCCGGCAAACGCGCGCGTGCTGGCCGAGGCGGCGACGGCGCCGAGGAAAATCGACTTGCCTCCCCCGACCAGGGGAAGGGGAGGTGCACGTGGAGAAGACGCACGAGGAGGATGAGGAGGGAAGGGGTAGGGGGAGGGCGATGATGAGGAGGAGGAGGTGGAGGAGGAGGGGGAGGATCAGGGGGAGGAGGAGGAGGAGGAGGAGGAGGAGGAGGAGGAGGAGGATGGGGGAGAAGGGGGGGATGGGGGAGAAATAGAAGAAAGAAGAAAAGAGGGCTGAGGAGAGGGCGAGAGGAGGGTGTTTGCCATGGCCGGGAGGAAAAAAGAAGGGCAAGCTAAACAGAAAAACATATTATCATGTGGGGTCCTTCCGTCCGATTTGAATAGGATGGATTTTTGTACCGTGGTGTTTTTCAACCCAGGCGCGCGCGTACCTCATATTGTCATGTGGAGCACGTCGGTGCAGGGGGCCGAATCGAGCGAGCGGAACATAGAAGTCTACCGCTGTCTCAAGGCAGGGTCAGCGACGCGAAGCGAGTCGGGCGGGCGCTAAAGTGTGCGATCTTTATTGCGTGCGGACAGGCGGCGCAGAACTAACTGGCGACGAGGGTCGGTCGGGCAAAATATCAGAGGGTCGTGTCGGGTCTTTGTCCAGTGCGGCGGGGCGACGCAGAACGAACGAAGCAACGCGATTCGGGCGGACTGGGCATCAAGGTGAAATGCTGTTTTGAAACAGGGCCAACGGGGCAGGGCGGACTGGGGGGCGGGGCATTGAAATGTAATGCTCAGTCGGACGTGGCCGTGTGGAGCGGGGCCACCGAACGAGAGGAGCCAGGCGTTCTGACAAATAACACCCGGGGGATAAGAAAACTCGGGGTCCCAGGGGGATCGCAAACGATTTGTCCGAGCAAGTCGTACACGGGATTTATGTCGAGAAAAGAAGAAATCGTCGTCGTCGTCGTCGCACGAAGACGACGACGACGACCTACCCCTGCAGCACGTTCGTGACTTCGGAAAATTGCAATGGCCAGAATCGCGTATAGGACATATCCCAAGGAGGGGAGGGGAAAGGAGAGAGGAAGGGGAGGGGAGGAGGAAGGTGGGAGAGGAAAGAAGCCCCATAACCAGTTTTCCCCCAAAACATATGATTCGGTACATTGCGTTTTCTATATGTAACACCGACTGTCTTTCTCTTCGTCGTTTTCTATATCACATGGATCGGGTCTTATGGTGGCCCGTTTCCGATGCTAACACACTCCCGGGATAAAGCACGTTCGTGGGTGGGAGGAGGCTAGGGGCAAAATGGATATATTATTGGTAGTTCCCCAATCAGAGCTTGCTTCATTAGGGGTCCTAGTGGATATAAAGCTGAGGTGAGGTGAGCGGCCGATTTCGGTGGCCGGGGCCGGGTGCCCGGGTGCCGGGGTGCCCGGGGGTGCCCAGGTGGCCGATTTCGGTGGCTGGGCCCGGGTGCCCGGGTGCCCGGGTGCCCGGGGGTGCCCGGGTGCCCGGGGGTGCCCGGGTGCCCGGGGGTGCCCAATAGCTCAATAGCCCAGTAGCCCTATAGCCCTATAGCCGTATAGCCCTATAGCCCTGTAGCCCCATAGCCTTATATCCGTATAGCCATAAAAACCTTATATCCCTATATCCCTATAGCCCCATAGCCCATATACCTCTATAGCCCCATAGCCCTATAGCCCTATGGCCCTATAGGTCACAGTCCTATAGCCCTATAGCCCGATAGCCCTATAGCCCGATAGCCGTATAACCCTATAGTCCAATAGCCCTATCGCCCTAACAAAAATCGGATTGGGTTTTTTTCCGGTATCATAGTAGGAATAGAAGTAGTAGTAGTAGTAGTAGTAGTAGTAGTAGTAGTAGTAGTAGTAGTAGTAGTAGTAGTAGTAGTAGTAGTAATAGTAGTAGTAGTAGTAGTAGTAGTAGTAGTAGTAGTAGTAGTAGTAGCAGTAGTAGTAGTAGTAGTAGTAGTAGTAGTAGTAGTCGTAGTAGTAGTCGTAGTCGTAGTCGTAGTCGTAGTAGTAGTAGTAGTAGT